TTTCAGGTGAACAAGAAAAGGAATCCAGTTGCCATAACTCTACTTCCAGAAAAGACCATATTTTTCAGACTATTAGACACATTGGTGTATAAGACGCATCAAAATTTCAAAGAGGTAAGTAAGAAAAAAAGGGTTTTGTCCTCCCTGGCTCCCGGAAGCGCTCTGCAGGCTTCAGCAGGGCTGGGGGAAGGGAAAAACGCCCCCGTTTCCCCCCAGCCCTGCTGAAGCCTGCAGAGTACTCCTAAAGTCTAGGGGAAGGCCAAAAACACCTCAGTTTTTGCGAAAAACCACCCGTTTTTTGCAAAAATGGGATGAAGGGCGAGGCTTTGGGAGGCCAGTGTATAGTATAAAACCCACCAACATTTCCACTCTTTTTTAGGGTGGGGAAGGTGCATCTTATACTCCGAAAAATAGAGTAGATGGCTGAGAACCTTTATTGACACAGTAATCAGAAAGTTTGTGTAAAGTGGCTTAAGCACAGCCCTAATGTAGCATTTGATAATTAGGGGTTCCTGACATAAGAGGTTGGTATACATACCAAGAGCTTGGTATGATTGTCTTGCTGTGTGTTCAACACACAGCAAGATAATTGCTCATCCAAAATATCATTTAAAAAAAATGCGGGGGGGGGGGAGATTAACACTGTAGTTTGATCTGGCAAAACAAGAATGAGCAGCATGCACAGTGTTCAGGTACTGGAGAGGAACAGACAATCCAGAACCACACCACAGCTGGAAGGGAGTTCTAGATCCCTACCCAGAACAGGTTTGGGCAGGGTACAACCCCTTTGGGCACTAATGTGCCCCATTTTGACTTCATGGAGTGATCTGAACCGTAAGACAGAAAACACCATTTCAGTAGCAGAATATCTGATCTCACAATACAGGAGCAGAGGTGGTCTTCAGCAGGTTCTGACCAGTTCTGGAGAACCGGCAGTGGAAATTTTGAGTAGTTCAGAGAACCGGTAAATATCACCCACCTCTAATCCTTCCCATGGAGTGGGATGGGAATGAAGATTTTATAGTATCCTTCCTCTGCCACACCCACCAAGTCATGCCACGCCCACCAAGCCACGCTCACAGAACCGGTAGTAAAAAATTTTGAATCCCACTACTGATGCAAGTCACAGCATACTGAGCAGGACTACCAGAGTAAAGAAAGTGTGCAGATGTGACCTCTGGAAGCAACAATCTCCTAATTTTCAAAACCAACACATCAGGGCCGTAGTTAATATTAGCAAACAAAAATGCCATAAAAGCAAGCACTTTACACCTGGGAGAAGGCCTTGGTGATGCTGTTCTTTGCTTAGAAACTGTCAATCATAAAAACTCTTCTTCCTTTTCCTTTTTTTTTCCAGAGTGCGCTTTGAAGAATATCTTCCAAAATCTCCTTTTTTGAAATCCTAATCTCTAATCCTAATCTCCCTAATCTCATTTCTCTATGTATCTTGATTGCTTCTCAAATTTTAGAAGGAACTTGATCATGTTCAGCTGGATTGGTCAGCCCAGAATCCCTCCAAAGTGGTTTAATGCACATTGCTAACTTTTGCATATCTGCAACAAGGCTCGCCCCATTGTAGAAAACCCCATATTATATCAAGGCTGAAGAACGAATGTTTGGAATTGCTCAAGCTTTTCTGGAACAAAACTGGATATTTCCCCCTTTTTTCTAGCCTTTTTCTAAATGTACTTTAAACTCTTGGCATTTGAAATATTATTGGTAGTAAGCCACCCTACTAGCAAGAAGAAAGATAATAACGGGGTCTGGCCCAAACTGTCTTTCAATCTGAGAAAGTGGGGAATTTAATTAAATACATTTTAGCAGAAAATAACCATTTTTCATATCTGTCTCCAGAGAGTTATGAACACCACATCAGATGTTATAATCCCACTCTATCCTACTCACAGGTAATTACCCTGAAGGAAAATGATCTGCTCCAACATCCTCCGCCCGCTTTGTAGCTGGATTTGAACTTGAACTTACCTTCTAAAATCAACAGTATATTTTAGATCAACCTTCCACAACTTTGGCAGCCGTCAAATAGTAAGTAGACCACAAATCCCAGAATTCTGACTAATGGCCACATTGGTATGGAATGCGGATAGTTTACATTCATACATCCAGCGGGCATCCAAATTGGGAAAGATTGCTTCCCATGCATTTATTGATAGGTTTACTTGATGCCATGCGTGAGCAACTATGAGTGATCAGATTCGTATTCTGAAGAAAATCAAATTTTAAATTCCTTTTCGTGGCATACCTGAAAGGAAAGTCCTGGCAGACCTGGAGGCAAAAAGAGTACGATATATTATTCTTTCGCTTATGTGGATTTAGATTCAGTTACAGAGGTATATGGCATGAAAATCAAAAAGTTGATTCAAAGGCCTTGCAGAAAAGTTTGATTTTTGGAGTAGGGATTTTGAAAGAATCAGGAATCGAGATGTTTTTATAGTCATTCCAAACCATACGAAGTCAGGTAGCAAATGCTGATGGCTACCTGATGTTGAGTGAAAACTCTCACAGTGAGAACTGGACATGGAACCACTGATGGGTTCAAAGTTGGGAAAGGAGTCCGGCAAGGCTGTATACTGTCCCCCTCCTATTTAACTTATATGCAGAACGCAACATGAGAAAGGCAGGGCTAGATTAATCAAAAATTGGAATTAAGATTGTCGGGAGAAATATCAACAACCTCAGATATGCAGATGATACCACTCAAATGGCAGAAAGTGAAGAGGAACTAAAGAGCCTCTTGATGCAAGGGAAGAAGGAGAATGCAAAAGTTGGCTTGAAACTCAACATTAAGAAAGCTAAGATCATGCCATCTGGCCCTCTCAGTTCCTGGCAAATAGATGGGGAAGAAATGGAGGTAGTGACATACTTTATTTTCCTGGGCTCCAAGATCACCGCAGAAAAGACGCTTGCTCCTGGGGAGGAAAGCTATGGCAAATCTAGACAGCATACTAAAAAGCAGAGACATCCCCTTGCCAACAAAAGTGTGTATAATCAAGGTTTTTCCAGTTGCAATGTATGGCTGTGAAAGTTGGACCATAATAAAGGCTGAGCACCAAAGAATTGAGGCCTTTGAACTGTGCTGGAGAAGACTCCTGTGAGTCCCTTGGACTGCAAGGTGATCAAACCAGTCAGTCCTAGAGGAGATCAACCCT